GTTTTTCAAATTATATATATATATATATATATATATATATATATATAAAATACACTTATCAAAATAACAAAAGCAGTCAAACATTAAAAGTTTGTCTTTTAATGGCAAAAAAAATACTTTTATTAACTACTGTATATGTATTTTAGGGCTGCACGATTATGACAAAAATACAAAAATACATTGAAATTGTAATTGCGATCCACGACATTCTAATTTATTGAGATGCACCTGTATATAATGTTATTTATTTATTTGTTTGTTAGTTTTTTTTACAGTTATAATACAGCTATCGATGCAGCAGAAAACATCTTGCCTAGGTCATGTTTACATTTCTTTTTAATTCTAACCTTGAAATCAGGATTAGCCATAAAATAATTTTATACATGTAAAAATCAGCTAAGAATTGAACCAACAATTGTAACATGGCTCAGAGGAAGATAGGAATCATGTCTTTGTGGCAGTTTTATCTGGTGATTAAGGAATAATTCAAGACTTCTTCACCTCACAAATGGTTGTCGAAATCAAAAACGCTCTGAAATTCACATCATATTTTGTGACATTCTAGAGCAAAACAGACACTATTTTTGGAATAAGCACCCCAAAAATTATTAATAGAAACCATTTTTGGATTTCATAATGGAGGGCGGCTTTATAGGGAAAACATTATAAAGTTCAAAACAACATAAGTCTGATACACATTCAAGCAACTTCGTAAAACCACAACCTTTAATTTGTAGGAGAACTTGCCATATCATGCAGTCCACACACTGACATATGTGGGGCACTTTGTTCTCTCTTCTTACACACACACACACACACACACACACTTCCCTGTGATTTTGCATTAAATGGGGTTTAGGCATTTTAATTGCACAGTGTTTCCTGTGAGAGCCTGAAGTGGGTTTCAATAGTCCTTGTGACTTGAACACTCCAATCTGGGTGTAAATAGTGTAACAACACACCCTTTCACGCATCTATAACAAAACAATATCAAAAATGAGCGAGGCAGGGTGTCATTAAGGGATGTTTAAAAATATTCCTCGCTCATGGAAATGTCACATTATGTGTATTAGCCCCCATTTCAAACAGACGCATCAGCAGTGGGGACACCAGTGCAGCTTGGGACCTCAGGGAAGGGTGTGATGTGTGTGTGCGTCTGTTTGGGTAACAGAAGACTTTGATGTCCCCCTCAGCTCTGCAGGTGTGATAGAGAAGGTCAGTTCTGCAGCATGCATATGTTTAGGAAAATTACCCCTCACACACCCCCTCTGCTTCTCAACTGCCCCCTGGGGCTCTGACAAGAGCCAACAGATGCCTAACATGTAAAGCTCCTCCAAAGAGGGAAAGCAAAACCCACACAGCCTCTCTGATGTCTCTCTCTTCTCCTCTCTGATCTCTGTTGGGACGAGAGCGTGTGTAAACCTGTTGAACGAACACATTTGTACACAGCTGCCCACAGGGCAACAACCTTCACTTTGTAAGTAAAAAGAGCAGCTTCTTTCTGCATTTAAGCCACTACAGCTTGCTTTGATACACCTTTTTATTATGGTTTATAAAGAGTTGAGTAACTAAATAATCAATATTGAAAGAGACCAAATTTAAACATTTAAGAATCTGCCATGTAAACTGATCGACCACAAACTTGAATATTGGGAAGTCCATGGCAGTTACAGTAATAAATAAACAAGTTAATAAATTATACATATTACCAATCAAAAGTCAGTTTTCAGTAAGATTATTTTGAAAGAAATAAATACTTTTATTCAGCAAGGATGCATTAAATTAACCAAAAGTGACAGTAAAGACATTCAGAATGTTACAAAAGTTACAAAAAGCTGTTCTTTTGAACCTTCTATTCATCAAAGAATCCTAAAATCAATGGTTTCCTACAAAAATATTAAGCAACTCAACTGTTTTCAACATTGATAATGATAAGAATTTTTTCTTGAGCATCAAATCAGCATATTAGAATGATTTCTGAAGGATCACAAGACTGGAGTGATGAAAATTCAGCTTTCCCATCACAGGAAGATTACATTTTTTAAATATATTAGAATGTAAAAAAAAAAAAAAAAAAGGT